AAAAAAAAAAAAAAAAAAAAAAAAAAAAAAAAAAAAAAAAAAAAAAAACCAGCCTCGATGATATCCCAGAAACACCTGACTATTATTGTCAATGGGATACGGCTTGCGCTCCATTTCATTGCGTTACGTATCTTGCGTTAGCTTAAGGCAGTATCCCACGGAGCTACACAAATTTACAAGAGTCTATACTGTCATTAAAACTTTATCTGAATATGTGTACCATAACTATAATACGTGGCTATATTAAACATTGATCATTACCCTACTTGACTACCTTTGCAGCTCATCTCTTTGTACCATATATAGTATTCACGTGGTTATGGATTTTTTTTTTGTATACGAGGGTGTCAATTTCCAGACGAAATATCGTTGACGATATTAGGGTGCAGCTCTCCGTCGCTTCCAACGGACAATATATGACGTTCGAGCGGTGAATTTTCCTCGCTGAAATTGCCCATGGAAGGAAACCTACCTACTCTATGTATTATGTAACGTACTTATACGTATGTAATATATGTTGCAAGGGCACGTCCGAATACTCGATGAAAGATCCATCCTTTATTTCGTTTGAGTATATATGCATTATTGTACATAGTACGGTACATGTATATTCCATATGTATACGTTATATATAGGTATAGAAAATATACATGTAGTTCCAAGCGAACACGGCAGATGCGCAGTTTCGCGAAAGCGACTCTATGATTCCAGGGGGTTTTATCACCCAATCTTATCTTTACGTCCGGCCATTTTTCTCCCGGCTCTATATAGCATTATACGGCTTATAGGTATAACATTAGCCGTTTATTAATCGAGCTTTGCACTAATATCAGTCAGGCGCTGCAGTTACCAGGATCGATCCGACGTGGCAGCACGAGAAACTCTTGGCAACATTGAAAATTCGTAGTTAACTTTACTGTTGTCCCTTATCATTTATTTTATTTTTTTCTTATCCCTACCACCACGTTTCTTTTCATCGCCGCGATAACATATTCGCACCCTTATTGAAACTCCTTACCGTAACGCTCACGACCTATACTAATTCACAGGCTGGGGACTAATTCGCAGTGTAAGGGATAACGGTGCCAGTTAAAAGAACTAGTGAAAGAATAATAAAATGCGTATATCAGGTAAGAAAGATAAAAAAAAATTTCGAATAAATGACACGGGGTAAGGATCTCTCTGTTTCACGTGTAAAAATGAACGTCGCTGCCTTCATCCCTTGATTCGAATGGGTATAAAAATACGAAATATCTTTGATGTAAATCAAACGGAGTTTTCTAATAAATTATGTGCATGGTCGTTGGCATCGAAGGGGTACTTCTCGTGAATACGCCCCTTTTCGCTGCACTCGCTCGGCCCATCACTTATATACGGTGTATTCAGCGGATCATACACACATAGCGATCCCAGTGTACATGGGTGGATGCGTGCGTGGATGCGTGCGTGGATGCGTGCGTGGATGCGTGCATAGTGCCCCGCGTGCGTAACGCACTCTACAGTAGGTGGGTAGCTAGGTATACCTTACACCCCCATATCCACGGCTGGTAGAGAACGTAGCGAACGATCAAATAAAAGCCCGTGTTTTCCCCGATATTGAACCCTAAGCTAAGCCTAACCTGCCCCAACCTCCAGCCACAGCCGGCGAGGCTGTTGGGGCTGGGGG